ACATTATAACGACCCCACGGCTGAAAGGGCGAGCATGTTTGGTGGGACGGGGATTCGAACCCGCGACCCGCAGATTACGAGTCGAGCGCCCAAACTACCTGGCCATGCCGGCCCGGTTGTGAGTACAGTAGTCACCCCTAAAAACCATTGAAGATGTTATTAAAACCACCCTTAATTCCTACATTTGTAAATCTCTCAACCTCCGCCTGTAGACAGTTATTTGTAAAAACTATTAAACTCTTATTTAAATATTTCAGTAATGATTGAGAACCAATAATACTATCATTCAGGTATGTACATATATTTTTGTATAACTAGATATTAATTACTAATTTATTATTATCTAACGTTTCGGCAGCTAATCTGTCCGTTTACAGGGAAGTTTTCAGAATAACTGCTTCTTTGTTGGGAGGGGCCAGGGTTAAATCCTGGGTATTCTTGCTGGACAATCTGGTGTGTTATCTACCATCTAATGAAGGTTACCCAAGTCGAGTGGGAAACGCTCCAGACCTCCTATCAAAAAGACCCAGGATCGAATCGTGGCCACTTCCAACACAGAAATAGTCCTTCTCAGGACTTCCCTGAAGGCGGCAGTAAATTAGCAGCGTAAACGTTAGATAAAAAATTGATTAGTATCTATTAAGAAAAACACATAAAAAATGTACACACACACATATATATGTGTGTGTGTGTATCCAATTATAATCTAACTAAGAATTAGACTTAGGTGATCTTATAGCTTACTAACAGGACAACGAACAACCATAAGATATGAGAAGCATGAATGAAACATTATTAAACTGGTTCCTATAAGTATCTATCACGTTCACAAATTTGGACACCTTGATAGGAAGAGTAAAGAACTAAATCCAGATCAGGCTAAACTTTATTGCTGTTAAACCAGTTTTGGTGAACATTGTGAGATGTATATGTAACTAGAGCTTATCTCTTATTTATTTAAAAAAAAAGTAACGGAAGTACAATCTAGAAACAGAACTGGTTACTCTTGTTCTAATGGACACAAAATATAGACACAGAATCGAAATGGAGACCGTAAGTACAAGGTATAACTTGCTTCTGGATCATGTTCTAGTCCAATACAGGGCACGGTAATAGACACAAAATTGGAAGAAGATCGGAAACAGAAAGTAGAACTTGCTTCTAGATAATCTTCTAGTCACATACAGGGCACGGTAATAGTCACAAAATTGGAAGAAGATCGGAAATAGAAAGTAGAACTTGCTTCTGGATAATCTTCTAGTCCCATACAGGACACAACAGTAGACACAAAACTGGAAAGGAGATCGGAAATTCAAAGTAAAACCTGCTTCTGGATCATCTTCTCATCCCATACATGATATAACAAAAGATGCAGAATTGGAAAATGAGGCCCATTCAGCCCTTTAACTAAGCTTTGCCAACTTTCTACAAAGATTAATAACGGGATTTCATGGCGAATGATTGCAAAGTTGCCAAATTGACGTTACCGAAACTCTGGAAAATTAAACCAGAATTGTCATCACACTACGTTCGGAAGTTTTGATTTTTGATGACCTTAAGAAGCTTCGAGGGCATTCCTCGTGATTACGATAAAAACAATCCAAGGGGTTTCAAGCCTTTAAAAACAGCAACATATTTTTTAGATTCATGTTGATTTTGTTCTGTAGCTTAGGGGGGTTTAACATGCTTTTAACGGTCGATTTAAAGCCCCTTCCCCACATATTAATAATATATCTAAGCTATTTTTTCATCTTTACAAACATTTGTTTACAACTTTACAAATACGATTGTACATACATATACAATACAAATTATAATTAACCCAAAAGCTTTTAGCTCATGCGAGTTAATATCATTCATTATCGAATTAATAAGTAAAATGATCATTTTGTTTTGTTTATATTAACAGATTATTTGTTTTCAAGAAACCAATTTACTACTTTTACCAAATGATTTTTAATTTGAAATTTTAGTTATTTTATATTAGCTACTTCATTATACACTATACAAGTAGTCATTGACGATATTTTAATTTTAATCTCATTCCAAAATTCAAGGGTGTTTAACTTGCTATTAACTGACAGCCTCTTCACCCATGTTATTAAGTTATCTAAGCTGTTCACTGGTAACGTTTATTGTCATGTTTTTTTTTACCTTTAGAATTCAATTGAGATTATAATTTTAAATCATATTGGAACTGAACAACTGGCCATAAAAATTGAATAGCAAGCACATTGGGAAGTCTAGCAAAAACTTTTTAACGGATACTCAAGAAGCTATAAAATTTAACTTCCAAAAAGCAGGTCCATACGGTTACGAAATTGAGCCGATTTTGTGTGTGTGTATATCTAGGCCCTTGTTTTAAACCTCGGTTGACGATAATCAGTTGGCCGGTAATCACTAACTACAAAAGGCCAATTCTGGCGTTTATGTTGAATGCTCAATATTCTTGTTGATTTGTTAGAAAGGTATGTTTTTTATTCTTTATTTTTTGATAATTTCGGTGATATAACAACATAATAGTTTAATTCAGAAGTTTTACGACATTGAGTTGTGGCCAAAAGCAAAATAAAAGTTACCAATTAGCGTTTCAGCTAAGCCTTACGTTATGTTTATATATTAGGCCTAATGCTTAAATTACACTACAATAGGCCTACTATTATTAAAGTAAGTGTTTAAAAAAGTTTAAGTTGTGAATAAATGTTAATTAATAAGTATTATTTTGGTATTTTAATAATATGTCATCTATTTGACTTAAAAAAATAAACGTTTATTACTACCAAATATCTTTTATCCTTTGTACTGTCGAAAATTTGTGTTGGTGTTTAAAAAGTTTTAAGTAATGAATAAATGTTGATTAATAAATATTCTTCTGGTATTTTAACAAAATATTATCCACTTGGCCTTAAAACATAAAAAAATAAAAACGTTTATGACTACCAAATATATTTTATCCTTTGTACAGTCGAAAGAGTTGAAAATTTATGTTGGAATGTCCGCACTATGTTTTCAATTTCCTGACCTAGAATACAGTGAAAAGGCTTAAGAATAATATTTAAGTCTCTTTCAGAGTGCACATGTATATTTGTTCACGATAATATTTAATTTTTCTGCGTAGTTTTTATTACATATGTGGTAATTAATTAATTACTTCGAAACTGATGAAATAAATGAAGAGTAGGTGCATTGTGGAGGTACAAATTAGTCTTAGTTAAATTCTATAATTTTCGTGAAACATTCAACAATGGTTTCCCCCCGTCATTTTTGACGGGTTTTTATCGTAGTTCATTTATAATTATCCTACTCTCTCCTAGCAAAAAGCTAGCTTGTTTATTTAACGATATGTTGATTTGTAATTAAGTATTAGGTAAAAAACTAACCGCGCATTAAGTTTCGTTGTATATTATACATGTGTTAGCAAACTTCTCCATCCCGTAAAATACACATCTAATTTTACTCTAGATGGCGCTAAAGTCACCCTATCTAACCGAATTACTTCCTCGGTCATGAATCGATGGTCTGTTGCGTGCGCGCGTCTAAACCATAGCGTTAGTCCCCGTACGTAAGTCTCGCATTTGTGTCGAAGACCTCACACTTAGAACGGTTAGAAATCTTACTCTTTACAGTCTTAGAAGTTACGTAAATCTAGAACCAACGTGGGCTGACTGATTGTAAAGCGTTATCCCAAACGATAGCATTAAGCCTAAGTATCGCGTTCACGGTAGCACTAGTTTCTCACGAAGATCATCGGCGCCGTCATAGGGTTGCTTTTTGGGCTGGGCCAGTTCTTTGTCCAACTAACAAGGGTAAGTAAACATTCTCGTGTACTCTTTCCGGAGCTGAAATTGCAGTCACAGCATTAAATTTAATATAGCCCTTATATTTGAGGTAGTTCTTATGAAATTTTAAATTTGTATGTGTTAGTTTGTACTCATTGGCAATATTTAGGTTAGCCATTGCCAATATTATTAAGCCGTTTTATTTTCACGCATACCCGTGGGTTCGTGGCCTGTAGTCCGTGTCGAACATGACAGCTCTCGGCTATTATGGCGGCATCAGCATGTATTCCGGGAGATCGTTCAATCTCAGTCTTGTTGTCAGCTTCCTTCCAAGGCGATTTTATTAATGTATTTTAAACAGTTTAGTGATAACTTATGTTACAAGGCCTTTATTATTTCGATGTTTGGATAAACTTTCCACCAATCAAAGTCTGTGCAACTTGAGAGAGTGAGTTACAGCGTAAGTGACGAATATGTGCTTAACAAACTCCTTTGTTAACTAATTCCTACTTCTTTCTACCCAATTACGGCACGTTTCAACGAAACCCCTAAAGTCTTGTCTTTACGCAAAACACTGAGGGGTTGATCATTTGTAACGATGTTTGTTAAGCCTTACCATGTCTGATCATCTGTATGTTTCCTTATACAGGGTAGCCCAAAACTGATAGAACTTACGCAAAACATTATTTACAACGTTTTTTTTTTAATTAAATACACAATAGGAACGATGCAAGCACCATTTACTACGATGTAACAAATCCCCTTGACTTGACCTATTCTACGTTTGTTTTATAGTACTTTCCATGGATTGAGATCACTATTATTAGTATTAGAAAATGGATTTCTTATGTACGTGCACTTGAGCCATATTAAAAGTACTTTTGAGTCAATCAACCTGAATAGTAACTTGCTATGTAACTTCAAAATCAACTAAATTGCTGATTATCGCTATTAAATCAGGTTTACCAGAATTTTGTAATAACTGCGTTATGTTAGTTATTTCGCTACTGCTAATAATTAGTTGCCATGGATTTTTTGGCGGTAAACTAACTGATATATTTGTGTTGTAACAAAAAAATTCATAGGTCATACTTTGTGCCACTGTTTGCTCTCAAAGAGATGCTCACTTGGGAACAATACAAACGTTGTACACGATCCTGTCTCGCTTGTTAAGAGACGAACGTCGTACAGAAATAAATCTAGTGTTACCCCACAAATAGTTGTCTCAAAATACCGTATTGTACGTGGTATTGTTTTAATTTGTAGGTTTAGTTTTTGTATTCATGTAATGTAGATCTTGGAACCGATTATACTGGTCCCAGTTGCGGCGTTATATTTTTAATTTGCTGTTGTAAAACTATAACTGAACGTTTTTCTTCTTTCATTATGTTATGTTGGTTAGTGCTAGCTTTCCAAGTTAGAATGTCACGCTGAGGATCAAATGTGTAAAGTAATTACTGTATAGTGGTTAAAAAAACAACAACAACAGTGGTTATATACTTGACCAAGGAGGAGGATAGTGAATTCATTGTTTCCGGGTCATGGTGGTGCTGAAGGTTATGTACTTTAAGTAATAATACGCGTATGTGTTATTTTTTTTATGGTTATCTGTGGTCAACAGAACAATGGAAGATTTTACTCCTTGCCAATGCAGGTTAGTGTGACGTTGTTTTTGGTAACCATGGTAACCCGACTTCAAAGAATTTTATCTTTGGCATTCTAATAAAGTATTAAACCAAAAACTTACTTCACAAAAAAAAAAAAATTCTTGTCAGTGGTCGATATGAAAGGTTTAATCTAATATTTTTGTGAAAATCACTACTATCGTCTTTACTCATAAGCAATACGTGTTTCATAACTTTCAATACATCGATAATATTTTTTTGCAAATATTAATAACCTATCCGAGCAATATTTTTACGATTCATAGGTAATCGAACTTATATTTAACACACGCTTTTGTAAGTAAACCAATAACAATATTAATAGAATGTAATATTATTTGTATATCTGAAGTTCTGACAGTGGACGTGAAGAGTAGGTTTTTACTAAAGATGTCGACTTTTATCATTTATTTTGTTTGTCTGAGTTACTGGTAGAAGACGTGAAGGTAGGTTTTTACTGAAGGTGTCGACTTTTATCATTTATTTTGTTTGTCTGAGTTACTGGTAGAAGACGTGAAGGTAGGTTTTTACTGAAGGT